TTTTGTCAATACTATTTATCTATTAGTAGGATATATTTGTTGGTTTATCTCGTGCACTTTTATTTATAGATTTATTGCCCTCTCATTATTGATTGTCTAACTGTTTCTCGTATTTGTCGATTGATTGAAATAAATGTTTCAATCATATTTTTTTTATTTAAGTATTGTCTATTTACATAACTTACTGTTGATTGGTAAAAATGAGAAATTGGTATGTGATTAGTGATTGGTTAATGATGTGGATCTATGAATGAAAGGCTTATTAGAAACTCTGGAGAATGATGTATGGACCCGATACATAAAAAAAACCATACCGTGAACACTATCTGAGTTGAATGGGACTGAGAAGTCCCATACCAGAAAGAGTTAGGAGGTATAATTCACTCTCATACCAAACGAGATATTGAGGTGGTGGTATGTTTGGCATTCATTACCGAACAGGGTATGGGGACAGTCGGTTAATTGATAATTTAGATATTGGGTCTACACGTAAAGGAGGATCCCTATGGACCCTTAGAGGTACTAGGTAGTAGGTAAGAAGGTAAGTTATTATTGTTGCTCATTTGAATATGAAATCATAATGTTATTCACGTTATTGTCTTCATAGGTCAGTTTTAGAAACTCATAAGAGTAAGTATGAAATAACGATTTTTAAATTAAACGAATTTGTTTAAAAAGAAATAATGGCTCCATTAGTTGTTTGATAATTTTTACCAATATTTAATTTTTCGTATCGGTGTTAAATGTGATATTCTTACTAGAATAGCATAGTTCATCCCCCTTATCTAACCATTTCAGATCAAGAAGATATATATCTAGATTCTGAACAGTAAAAAGATTGTAAATAAAAGTTGCCTCCTGATTTCCATCAGAGTTGTCCAGTAGAGGTTAATCTTATAGGATTTTTAGTTACATTTCATTTTATTTACTTATTTCATTATTTGAACATCTTTAAAAAATACATTTCATTAGCCGTGTTGGATACCCTAATTTACTGTGTAAGGAATATAAATCCTAAACTTCAAAATTACTTCCGTTTATAATTGATATAATATGATATTTTTATTTTCTTAAGTTTTAGACTATTACAGTTGGTATCAGAGTCGCATTCTTCAGAACCATTCATTGCACAGAGATTCGAATCATTCAAATACAACCCAACAATCAACCCTTTTTTGCATAATGAAGGAACAAAGATATGAGAAGAGGAAGGCCCCACTAAACCAAGTAGCCTGGGATGGGTCACTTCAAGAGGATGTCGATCGACTCTTTAAGATGCTCAAAAGACTTATCTCCGCCCAGCAGGTCCGGAAAGAGATGAGGGAGCTACTTGACCCTCCACCATTGCCACAGAGTGAGCCACCTCTGCAACGAAAAGATCCAGTGCAACCTTGATACGGCCCTGTGCCTCCATCGTATCATCTGGCATCACTGCAGTATGATCCGCTGCCTCCACCATACAACTAAGTGTTGCTACAGGGCCACTTGATCCCTCCCCAACATAATTTAGTCCCTCTTCAACAGGACCCAGCTCTGCCATGATGGACCCAAACTATATTGAGAGGTATAAGAGACTTAACTTATCTACCTTTGCAGGAACATCCTCATTTGAGAGGACGAGTACTGGTTAGCAGAGATAGAGAAGAGTTTCGTAACTCTTGGGGTGCTAGAGTCACGTTTGCAAGAAAAGGGTATGGGTCCCTGAGATTGTGTATTGACTACAGAGAATTGAATAAAGTCACTATCAAGAACAAATATCCCCTCCCGAGGATTGATAATCTTTTTAATTAGTGCCCAGGTTTTCTCCAAATTTAACTTACATTCAGATTACCATCAAATAGAGATCAAGGTACAGAACATTCCCAAGACGACCTTCAGAACCCAGTATGGACACTATGAGTTCCTAGATCAATTCGTCATAGTATTTATTGATGATATCCTAGTTTATTCGAAGAGTAGAGACGAACACGTTCAGTACCTAGCTCAAATTTTGCAGGTTTTTTAAGGAAAAGAAGTTGTATGCAAAATTGAGTGTGGATTTTGGCTTGAAGAGACTACCTTCTAATGGAACATAATATCGAAAGATTGGGTGTCAGTGAATCCTGAAAAGATTGAGGTGATACTAGGTTCGGAAAAATTGACCTCAGTTAAGGAGATTCGTAACTTTTTAGGAATGACAAGTTATTACCCCAAGTTTGCAGAACGGTTTTCAAGCCTAGCCACTCATTTGACCCGGCTTACAAAAAATAATGTTAAGTTTAAGTGGAATAAAAACTGTGAAAGGAGTTTTACAGAACTTAAGAAGTGGTTGACTACCGCACTAGTTTTGGCTTTGCCGAGTGGGACAGGTGGGTACACAGTGTATAATAATGCTTCCTAACAACGGTTGGGTTATGTTCTGATACAGTACTGAAAGGTCATAGCCTATGGGTTCATGCAATTAAAAAGTCATGAAAAGAATTACCCCACCCACGACTTAGAACTTGTCGCTATTATCCGCGTCTTAAAGATCTAACGCCACTACTTGTATGGGGAGACTTTTAAGGTTTATACAGACTATAAGAGCTTGAAGTATATATTCACCTAAAAAGATCTCAATATGCGTCAAATGTATTAGATAGAGTTTCTCAAGTACTACGATTGTAAAATCTTATATCACTAGGACATGGGCAATATGGTAGTCGATTCGCTCAATATAAAAAGTATAGGTATGTTAGGTCACTTAATGGTTTTTGAATGTAGGGTAATAGAGGCTGCATAATAGATACAACTTCAGAATTTGAAAGGGGCTACATGTCTAGTCATCTAGCTATTTAACTCGAACTTATTTAGAGAATAAAGAAAGTCCAATTGACTGATTCTACCCTAGTAGCTTTTAGGAATGATACAGAATAGGATATAAATTCAATATTTTGAGTCTCTGTTGATGGATTGCTTAAATTCCAGGACAGGGTATGTGTCCAAGCTGACAGTGAACTAATAAGGGATATTATGACAAAGGCCAATAGTTCAAAGTTCATCATGC